TGGTAACCCGTGGGTACCGAATATTAGTGTTAATGGTCTGGTATTCCATAAGCTTTTTAAATGAGTTTGGTATGGTTCTGATTTGAGCTTAAATAGTAATTGTTATGGTATTACATTTTTTCGAAGGTATCCGGCTATCCATTCCGCTGTCATCCTTACCCGTGAATAAGGAAAAAATAGTTGGAAGTCCCTCAAAAATGTTTTTTTATAGCTACTAGCAAGGTGCACGTGCGTTGCACGTGTCGTAATATTATTATATGTTGAAAATAATTTTTTTGTATCCATATTAGGTTGCAAGATGCCTTTTATAAAATATGAGTCAATTTGTTTTAGACCAAAAACATATTGCTACTTGTGTAAATATTGGAGAAATTTAAACTACATCAAAGCAAACTTAGAATACCTCTCTTATCTTCTTTGTATTGCATATACATTGAAATTCATGTGAATCCTAGGAAAACATATTATTGAGATTGATGATCAAATTTGCAGTCAATTACGAGATTTTCTTTAGTATTGCTACTGTAATATGATAGTTGTTGAAGTTAATGATGTCTATGTGCAATCATTGAAAACTAATACAACTCTTATAATTCTCTGGTGGGACAGCAAATGTACTCTTGATAACCAAAATGCATTATCCAATTACAATGTTCCTCATGGTACATCTAGTCCTTATGCAGCATGCTCTACTTATTGTGGATTACCCGCTCCTTAACCAATTCACGTTTTTTCCTTATTGAACGATGAAACATACATTAGAGAAATAAACAAAAAACTGGGGAGCTTGGTGCATTAACATAATTTTCAGCTAGCAATGAGCATGAATGTAAATTATGTTCTAAACATACTCTCTACAAATTTAATTGGTATATATGATCCACAATAGTATAAAGAGAAGGTTAGGTTCGTGAAACCTTTACAAAGAGTATCACTCCACATGAACGCAAGTCTGGAGTAGCTCTATAATGGTCTCGATTGTTTAAGAGTTAGAGAATTTAGATAAATTTGAAACATAGAAGAATAGAGGTTCTCATAAACAAAAAAGAGACTTGCATATTTTAATAACATACCTAACACGCAAGTGCACGTATCGCAAACAAGTAGTAAAAGTGGACTCGTGAGAGTCGGATGTCGATCCCACAGGGAATACTCAAATCATCTAATCCTTAGTACCAAATTCTAACAATTATGATTTTTATCCAGCCTACGCAAGGTTGTCAAATTTAATCAACTAAATAATTAAACTAAATATGAAAGCAAATAAATACAAGAAAATATCAATATAAAAACGGACCTAGGATTTTATCTTCCCCCTATGCAAGAATTGCTCACCCAAAACCCCTCAATTATGAAATATATGATTCTTGATTATTAACCGAGACACTAATTTACTCATAACCCGCTGTCGCGTGTATTATGAATCTATTATTCATAAACGGTTGACTATATGTCTATGCAAACCAATTATGAACAAAGCATTAACTAACAAGTCTCGTAAATGGCTACCTAAGGTGATATCTGTATGTCTACGACACCACATGCAATTGACACACTCATCCGATGAAAACTACTCAAAGGCTCTTTTACTCCGTCTAATTATCAAAATAGCTATGTCGAGTCAATCCCAATAATCACAGATAAAGCACATAAATTGATCAGGTTCATGCACTAATAATCATAACAAGTAGAAGAAATAATCATAAAATCATAATTGCATAATCTCAAGAAAACGGGTTCACCATCCCCACATAGGGTTCCAACAAAATTCTAGATTAAAAACTTAGCTACTCATGTTATGTACGAAAAACATAATAACAATATAAAAAGACATAGATTAAGAAAAGATAGATAAAAGAAGAATTGTGATGAAGATTTGTCAATTCTCCGTCTTCGATTATCCGTTCTCTCGCACCTCTTCCTCCAAGATTGTGTTCAAAGGTAAGATACCAATTGTGTGTTTGGCTTGGCCTTTATATAGGGTGCAAAAGTATAAGAGGGCGGTTTCCTTGTGTAATTAAACTTCCTTCATTGCGCCTCTTCGTGATCTCGGACGGCCGCGCCAGATTTAGTGCTGAAACTCGGACGGCCGTCCGGGCTTCAAATCTTCAAAGTTTTGATTTTGTTACTTTTGGCCCACTTTTCTCCGAAATTGCAGTTTTTTACCCCATAAGTTTCCAATTCTTCAATTTGTACCTAAAATAAAAATAATAACCATTTTAAGCACCAATTATCATTAAAACACACCAAAAGCTCCAATTAAAAGGTACGATTAAGTGTAAAAATATACACATAGCAATATGTTACAAAGATTGAAAGATATATATCTCAAGGGAACTTGCATCTCAAGGGTAGTAAAATGTGCCTTCTTTCTTCTAGAGCACTGAGTTGGTTGTCTATTTGAATGCATTCTAAAAGAGTGTGGCAAGAGCATAATCTTGACCTTTATACACCAAAACCTGCTACAGTTCTAAATAAAACAATGAAATATATTAATGAAACTAAAATAGTTTGTCTTCAGCCATT